TACAATATATTTTTAATATAAATAATTACAGAATAGCATCTTCCAAAAATAATTGTATGTGTGTATCTCCACATATATGCACAAGAGTAAGCATTACTGACAAGATTTCTTCATCTTTAATATATTCCTCTAGAAAACAACAAAAATTTAAAATAACAGGATTTAATATATGTAAATATATTTTTATAATTGCAATTGTAATATTATGTACCAAATTGATCGTGAAGCATAAGTTTCACACCAAAATTAGTTAAATATTCAATAATAGTGGTAACTATGTCTACATGTTCACATACAGATTGGAAAAGAGACAGATTCTTTTTTATTACAGATGCTGTTTCAAGAAATCTGCAAAAAAATGTATTAAAAAGATAGAGAAGCAACTTTTTTACATTTTTATTATATTATTGTATCTTAAATTTAAACATTTATTTACCTCTCTGAAATATCATTAACATCTTTAAACTTTATTGCTTTAGATAAGGTAGATATTTCCGCTAATGCCTCCTAAAAATATATGTAAAAAGTAGTATTACTATTTTTTATAGAAGATATAAATTAAAATATATTTTTTTCCCCAATACATATTATTATATTAAATTTCATAATTCATTAATATAGTACCTTATTTATGTAAATGAGTGTATATGTAAATATATTTATACTCACTTCTCTCTTACATTCATTATATTGTAGATTGTAGTAATATTTATCTATAGCTTCCACTCGTTGGCACATAATTATTAATCTATGTGTATAATTTCTATATTCTTAAAAAATTATATATCTGCAATCCGTTTGTGTTAGCTTTGCACAGTGATACTAAAAACTAAAAGGTAAATTTCACGCTTGTTGAAAAAGATTTTGATTTAAAACAGCACAAAAATCGATGATTATATGCAAGGCACTCTTTTATCACAAGTGTTAATTTTATATTTATCTCTACAGAAATTGTAGTCGCAGCTAATAACAGTGACGCTCACTCGACAAGCATACAAGAACAGAATGTCAGGGCATAGAGGCGGTGGGGGGGCTGGAAGCCATCAAGGTGGCCCTCCGGGCCTCAAGCAGATTGATTTGGATCAAATCTGGGGAGACTTACGCGAGGGCATAGAACAAGTTTATAACAGACAATGTATGTCAAAACCGAGATACATAGAGTTGTACACGTATCCTTTGTATTAAAGAAGATGTTTCTTCCTATTTTTATTTTTTTGTTTTTTTCTATAAATTTCAATCTTTAATGGTATTTTCCTGCTATGTTGCAAAATTTCTACAGACATGTATATAATTATTGCACAAGCGTTCATCAACAACTGACTAGGACATCAAGCAAGAGTAAAAAGGGACAAATTCAACAAGGAGGTGCACAATTAGTAGGATTGGAATTATACAAACGTTTGCGTGAATTTCTTAGGAATTATCTCATTAGTTTACTCAAAGTAAATATACATATAATAAATATTATGTTTTTTATGAAAACATAATATTTATACACATAATTTTTTGTATAGCATGGCATTGATTTGATGGACGAGGATGTGCTGCAGTTCTACACAAGACAATGGGAGGAATATCAGTTCAGCAGTAAAGTGTTAAATGGCGTATGTGCATATCTCAATCGTCATTGGGTACGCAGAGAGTGCGAGGAGGGTCGCAAAGGAATTCATGAAATTTATCAGTTGGCCTTGGTTACCTGGCGAGATAATTTATTTAGGCATTTAAATAAACAAGTAAATAATCTTTCAATATCAATACATAATTTACCTAGTCTGTCGAGTATAATCTATGTAATCTTTCTCAGGTTACTAATGCAGTGCTTAAATTAATCGAACGGGAGCGTAACGGTGAAACGATAAATACTCGATTAGTCAGTGGCGTCATCAATTGTTATGTAGAATTGGGTTTAAATGAAGACGACCCAGGTACTAAAGGACAAAATTTAACAGTATATAAAGACTCCTTTGAGAATATCTTCCTCGAGGATACCGAACGATTCTACAATCGTGAAAGTTCCGAATTTCTTAGACAAAATCCTGTTACAGAATATATGAAAAAAGTAAGTTCAAAAAAAAAATATATATATATATTAAATATACAAGAACGTGTTTTATACGTTTACATGTAAATATTTTGTTTTGTGTGTGTGTGTGTGTATAGGCAGAACAGAGATTATTAGAAGAACAGAAGCGAGTACGCGTTTATCTGCATCAGACGACTCACGAGCGATTGGCGAAAACATGCGAAAGAGTACTTATCGAGAAACATCTGGACATATTTCATTCCGAATTCCAGAATCTATTGGATGCTGATAAGAATACAGATTTGGGCAGAATGTATCAGCTAGTAGCGAGAATACCGAATGGCCTCGGAGAGTTAAGAAATCTCTTAGAAAGTCACATAGCTAATCAGGGACTTGCAGCTATAGATAAGTGCGGTGACTCTGCGGCTAATGTACGCGTAATTTTAAAATAATTGCATTGTATGCAAATGTATAATGATACATCGTCAAGGGATCGAATATCGACAACTCGTTTTTGCTTGTAGGATCCAAAAATTTATGTCAACACAATCTTGGAGGTGCACAAAAAGTATAATGCCTTAGTGCTGGTTGCATTTAACAATGATAGCGGTTTTGTTGCAGCCTTGGATAAGGCTTGTGGACGGTTTATCAATAGCAACTCTGTTACAAGGGCAGCTAATAGCAGCAGTAAGTCACCTGAATTATTAGCTAAATACTGCGATTTGCTGCTGAAAAAGAGCAGTAAAAATCCGGAAGAGGCAGAACTCGAAGATACTCTTAATCAAGTTGTAAGTATTCTATGATAAGTTTTTCTTTTTTTTTCTTTTCTTGAATGTTTTTTTACGAAAAAATTATTCTAATTGCAGTCTCTTTCTTTATAGATGGTAGTATTTAAATACATTGAAGACAAAGATGTATTCCAGAAATTTTATAGTAAGATGCTAGCAAAACGATTAGTGCAACACATGTCTGCTAGCGATGACGCAGAGGCTTCTATGATCTCTAAACTGAAACAAGCTTGTGGATTTGAGTATACTTCAAAGTTACAACGTATGTTCCAGGTAGGGTAACATATTATTAAATGACATAGAGATTACACTTTAGTTTATTCAATTTTTTTATCAATAGATGTGTATATGTGATGTGTGTATCTACCAATTTGTTTCATTATTAAAATTTATTGGTAACATACAACAGTGCGATTGTAACAATTTGTTTGCAGGATATTGGTGTGTCTAAAGATCTAAACGAACAGTTCAGAAGACATTTGACAAATTCTGCTGACCCTTTGGATATAGATTTTAGTATACAAGTTTTATCTTCTGGTTCATGGCCATTCCAACAGTCCTTTACATTTTCGTTGCCAACAGAGGTAGAGCTATAAATATTATATAAATTCTATAAACTTTTCTTTTGAAATATTAACCGATTATTTATTTGAAAATTTAATTTGCAGCTAGAGAGATCTGTGCATAGATTCACTACTTTCTATAGTTCACAACATAGTGGCAGAAAGTTAAATTGGTTGTATAATATGTCTAAAGGAGAACTACATACGAATTGTTTCAAGAATAGATATACATTGCAAGCATCGACTTTTCAAATGGCAGTTTTGTTAGCATACAATGGATCTACATCATGGACAATACAACAATTGCAATATGCAACTCAAATAAAAATGGATTTTCTATTACAGGTAATATAACATAATAGTAGAAATAATATAACGGTATAGCAACACGATAATAGTAAAACTTGCTTTATACAGGTTGTTCAAATACTTTTGAAAGCTAAACTTTTAACTGCAGTTAGCGATGATGTAGCTGAACTGACTCCATTGTCGACGGTAGAACTTTTCACAGGATATAAGAAGTATATGTCGTTTATATCTATTATCTGTGTATATATAATTGATTTAAAACTACTTATTTTATTTTTTTATTTAACAGTAAAAAACTAAGGGTAAATATTAACATACCTATGAAGACGGAATTGAAGGTTGAACAAGAGACTACACACAAACACATAGAAGAAGATAGGAAACTTCTAATCCAGGCAGCAATTGTTAGAATTATGAAAATGCGAAAAGTATTGAAGCATCAACAGTTGGTGGCAGAAGTATTGAACCAATTAAGCTCTAGATTCAAGCCAAGAGTACATGTCATCAAGGTGAGTGAAATATTCGTTCATCTATTTAAAAAATTCTTTATGTTTATTAATATATTATATTATATTCGATGATGAAAAGTTTTTTATATGCGCGATATTTATTTTTTTGATTCGAACGAATGTATAACAATTGTGCAACAATATTTCGATGAAAATGTTTCAATTCTATTTCTTTTTTTTCAGAAATGTATAGATATTTTAATTGAAAAAGAATATTTGGAACGCACAGAGGGTCAAAAAGACACTTATAGCTATCTGGCATGATCAGTCGATTTAGGACAACGATACAGCAGCAGCCATATACATAAAACAAAAATAAACTTATATTCATTATCATTGCTATATACGTATCAGAATATTTATTTAAGTTTCTAATGTAATTATCCATATTTTTATTCTGTACATGGATGCCTTTGTACCGTATTGTCCTTCTCTGGTCGCATTTAGGAAAAGCTCTGGCTTTTTATATATCTTTCAAAAGATATATACATGCAATGTCATCTAAAAAAAAAGAGATGATAAAATTATTTCATAATTATCATAGTCAATGTGCTAGGTGTGTTACTGTCTGTGCTATTTTCCATATAAAACAGAGTGTACTGCTTGGCCATACTATCACAGAAAACACAAAATATGAGAAATAATCTACAGAGTATTATAGCATGATAAAAAAATGTGCATTTTTATTGCATTGCCATTAATATTTTTCGGTTTTGCAATCGTGAGAATATTAAAGAGTAATCTATTTTCCATAAAATAAGAAGTACTATGAAAATGGGAAAAGTAAAAGACATGTGCTATTACATCTCTCTATAAAAGAATCATTGTAAATTATAATATTGGTTATATAAAAAAAAATAAATGCAATAAAATATAATAAAACAAATTGTAGAACATTTTCGCGAGCACATAGATAGTAATGCATTTTAGCAGAAAAAAAGTCCAACTTTTATGATAGATATATTTAAGACCAGAAAATTTTATATCAACATGTGGATGCAAAATATCATTGCAATGGTAGCAATTTAATTGCCTTTATGTATAGCGCAATTTCGCCAATTGAATCCTAGATAAAATATTTGAAATTACAAAGATAAAAATTTATAACATATGATTTCCTATTGAAAATTGAATGCTAACATTATTTTAATTTGTTAGCATATTATAATTAGCGCGACTGAGATCAAAATTGATATCTTACAAAATTACACTTAAGAGTATAATGCAAAATGTCTAGAGGTAGTGACCTCAATTATCCTTAGGCTGAAACAGGGTTTGAGGATCAACATGCTGATTCTTAACTTATTAATGATCAATCTCGAGTAAATTTGTTTAAATTTTTGTAAAATTTTTATTACTGTAGTAGAGAGAGAAATGTTTAGTATTTACAGTGCAATATGGAAATGGTTAGATACGAATATCTGTGGTGAATAAAGTGATTGGAAAAGAAAAAGAGGAAAAAACAGCTACAAAATAATGCTTATATGAATTTCAACTTCAGTGCTCTCAACAGGAAGAGTTGTAGATCCTGTGTAACTCTAAACGTTTGAAAGTTATAATTGTTTCAAGATTGAATTTTGAAACTCGATAAATATAAAAATGAACGAAAGAGAGAGAGAGAGAAAAAAGTTAGAAAATTTTAAATAACTGCATATATGTATCACAATCCCTAGATATTCAGATATTAGTAACATTTTCCTCGTGACATATTGTCAATGATAAAAAAAAAGGCTGAAAAGCGAGGGAAAAATAAATTGAAAATTATTGTAATTAAACCATATTAACATACTTGCCTGCAGGGCGAACAACTACATACATATTTAGATACAGGAAACATTAACTTAATGTATTTTATTAAATAAAGAGTGTATTGCGAATTTTTTCAAATTACGAAAGCATAAATGTAATGTTATATTCAAGTTAAGTTGTGTGCAGAAATGGATACTGACTTATACTATATATAGTCCTTATCCATATACTTGTGATATTCGCTATTATTTAATATCTCTATGTAAACGAGCAATTGTTTACGACGAATTGTTTGCGAAAATAATTTTGATCGCGCTTTTGTAAGTTTTAGACATGTACTACAACGGTATACATCATCTTAGGCTAAGAATTAGGATCCTCCATTGCAGAACGAATGCTCGTGTATTATTCAGCGAAGTAACATTAATAATTTTGAGAAGAGGAGAGACGCATATTTTTAAATTCGGTGTATAGCTCGTCGCGTGACACTTTTCGATATGTCACGATTGTAAAAGCAAATAATGAATATTTATACTCGCGTCAAAATGCGCGGCGAAAATCTGATGCTTTGAATTTTTGTACACTAAGAGTTTGTTATTGTCAGTTATTATTCCTTGCACGCGCGCGTGCACACACATATACACAAATACACACGAGTTATGTAAATAAACTGACATAAATAAACTGTGAACGAGGCATTTGAAATTGTCAAGAGGAACATTACTTGAATTCGGTATGTAATTATAATGAAAATCAATCTTTTTTTTTCGTTTTTTTTTTCCCTTGCGGTCTGTTGTAATTCTTGCATATAATGTGAAAGATAATTATCGAAAGTATTTACGAAAAATTTCCATTGCGCGACTGTCAATATGAATTTCATCTCTTTTTTTTTTTTTTACAATATTTTAAATTTTGCAAAATTTTTTTATATACTTTTTTTATTTTGTATAATAATAAATTACTGTGATTGCAAAGTGAAACAAAAACAAATATCCATAAAATTATGAGCACTAAATAACAATATCTTACAAATCACAAATATCATAAATATTTATTAAAAAATACGAAATATCTCAATTTTAATCTTGATAATTGATGAAAACACACAAGAGAGAGCACTCTATGAAAAGATGCACACTATAAGACTAATGGCTACAAAAAGTAAAATTAATTTCATCTCTCTCTTACAAAAGATATAAAACATAGCAGTCTTTCAATAAATGTTTTATATCAGGGTTGCTGAGGTTTCCACTCTAATAATTTTGTAAAGTCTTCTTCTGTTAAGCGAATTTGCCCATTTGACATTAAATACATCTGTAGAATTATAAGATTATAAAGTTGCATTACAGTGTTATACAAATAGAAGAAATTAATGATCTTCAATACACATACATTTTGTTTCTTCAGATTATCTATGAGTAGCATTTGCTTCTTAAACGCATGCACTAATTCATTTCGCTGTTTTTCCAAGCTTTTTACGGCTATTCTCTTATCTTCTTGTACTCTCCTAATTGAATTCCTTAATTCCTACAAAGCAGATGATATATATAACACAAATTTTGTACACATATATGTTATAGATATAGTCTATTAAATACCTTTTCTTCTATCTGACTACATTTTAATGCATTCTTAAGTTTTTCATTACTTTCTAGAGATCTATTTAATCTCACATCATAATTAGTTGATTGCTGACTTAATATATTTATCTCCTTCTTAAGACTTTCCAAATCCTAGAAGAAGATATTTTTGGCACAATAAATTAATAATATTATGTAATGAAAATATATATTGTAGCAAAGATAGAAATACCTTTTTTAAGGCAACATTTTCATTGCTCAAAGCTTGACAGTTTGATATTGTATCAGAGTTTCTATTTTCTAACTTTGTAATTGTATCATTTAATGTTCCTATCTGATTGTGTAATTTAACTTGAATATCATCAAGTTTCTTCTTTCTCACTTCTAATTCTTTAGAATAATCGCACTACAAACAGAATTACAAATTTATTTTTACAAGTTTCCAAATTTTTTATGGAAAAGGTTGCATGTTTTTTTAATTTCTCTATGTGCTCTTTCTATATTGTTACAAATATTATACAACAAAATTGCATGATCTTGATAAAGTAATAATGGATTACCTTTTTGTTATACTCAAGTTGCATCGCTTGTAGCTCTTTATACAGCATATCTATCTTGCCTTTAAGCAATGTAACAATAGCATTATTTCCCACACTATTATCCTTCTTTAGTGAAATCTTAATATTATTGACATTTTCTGGAATTTCAACAATTCCATCTAATGTTCTTGATTGTTTATCTGTCTTTAATGTTTTATCTTCTGAATGTATCGTTTTTACATCTTTCGTTACAAAATTTAAGTACGATTCATTGCTAAACAAACTATCAGGAGCATTTATGACAGAATCAACCTCCTTTATCATATCATGAGTTTTCTGTCGAAGCTCGCGATTCAATCTGCGAAACTCTTTTTCCTTAGCTAATAAATCATCGGACATGTTTCCAAACAATATTTGTATACATAAATTAAAGAAGATAATTAGAGACAGGTAGAAACTAATCCGGGAGAGACTCCTCTGTCCTGATTGGTCAATCAAACACTTCGAAGTATTTGCAACGCCAGTCAAAGAACTTTTGCGAATTTTTCCTGCAAATTATAAACAAAAATCAATATGGATCGCTTGTTGATATGTCAAACTAGAAATCGATATAAAAAAAAATCGCGGAAATATTTTTATTTTTCAAAGATTTATCTATCTCTCTCTCTTTCTTGTAAAATGTCACAATTATCATTTCTATGCAAATATATTTTTCTGAGAATATATAGGAAAAATATTTTGCAACGACGAATAAAAAATCAAAAATAGCCGCCTGATCACGTGATTATATTAGAATTTAGAGTAAAGAAAGCGAGAATGACGGATATACCGCGCATCCAATATGACACAATTAGACTGTGCATGTGACTTATAGGAAGAGTGGGAACAGAGGGGAAATCTTAGAATTCGATTGCAATTGAACAAGCCTTCGAAGAGTTCCGTCGATCGATCATCTGTCATCTGTCATCTGTCATATATCTCAAGACGAATACGATATCGAGACAAAACGGAATGCTTTATCGACACTGAAAGATACCTTTCGCGAGAGACGCCGATGTCGACGCTCATCCGAAAACTGTTTTGGTGAATTGATCGAGACGCGGTATATCAAGTATAATAATGATACGGCACTGTGCATGAGTGCATGTCGTTTTGATTAAAGATGGAGGAAACGGGTAACGAGAAATTCCTATCGCGAAGACGTTCCGCCGCTTTGAAGGCTTTTAAAGTCAAGGACGAGAGAGTAGCTACCTTAAAGAAGGTACGTGCGAGTCAATATCGTTATTTAATTCCGTTCGCAGGATCATTACTTGTGTATCGTCCGAAATCCGGGCTCATCGTCCGGCACAACACAATGTCTCTTACGAGCGGAAATATATCGTAAACAAATCTCGCTCAAGCATGACACTAATTTTAGGTGGCAGCGATTTTACAAAAATCCGAAATAGATAGAACGGCGGAAGAAACTGGGATATTAGCCTCCTGCAGCGATGTAGTGAAAGAGGTTAATTTACGGTAATAATCTTCTTCCTTTTTGTAAAAATATGTGTAATGTTTTCCCAAATAATTTTTGCAACTGCTTGACGCTATCACTCATAATTTATTTTGCCTTGAAAGAAAGTGACTAGTGTAAGATTTCTAGAGTTTATTTCTCTTTAGAAATCTAAATACTTTTACAATATTTATTCTTGTAAGGAATTTTTATATACTATGAGTATAAATACATCTTTTATGTAAACAAAACATTTAGCAATATAATGATATCTATAAAAACATATTTATATAGTAAGGTAATATTTAAAATTTTTTTAAAGCATTAAATTATTTATAACGTACATATTATTTGTAGACAAGAAAAACGAGATAAAATAAAAGCAAGATTAGAAGAAGTCGAAGATGCAGCTGAAATTTTGGACGAAAAATGTATGCGCTTGGCAGCAGCAATCAGCAGAGCAACGTCCCTAGCAGTATACACTGGTGCTGGCATTAGTACAGCAGCATCTATTCCAGATTATAGAGGAACTAATGGAGTTTGGACTCGTATGCAACAAGGGAAGGACATTGGGTAGGGATCATCTTAATTAAAACTTAATATAACATATCTCTTTATACTTTCTCTAAAAATTTAGCATGTTGCTGCATAATAAAATTTGTGAAAGGTTTCATATGCTTATTCCTATAATTATAATTATTTTATTTCTATTATATTTTAGTTTATATCTGTGTACTTCTATTATTTGCTATTTTGCATCATAGATATCTCTTTGATATTGCTATAAATTATCAATGACAAAATAATATAACAATAATAATCATTATGATATAATAATTTAAAAGAAACTTTGTATTTATTATCTATGTGTTTATTATTGTTATTTATTTATACCTTTAACACACAGGAATCATGATCTGAGTCAAGCTGAACCAACATTAACGCATATGGCACTTTATGCATTATACAAAGCACGAGTTCTCAAGCATGTAGTTTCTCAAAACTGCGATGGATTACACTTGCGCAGTGGTATTCCGCGTAACTTTCTGTCCGAAGTTCATGGCAATATGTACGTGGAAGTTTGTAGGGTATGCAAGCCACCTAAGGAATATTGGAGGCTCTTTGACGTTACTGAAAAGACTGCTCGATATCAGCACGGTACAGGAAGATTATGCCACAGATGTAATTCATTATTGCAAGATTCTATTGTTCATTTCGGCGAGAGAGGTAATCTGCCTTGGCCAATCAATTGGAGCGGAGCGTCCAGAGCTGCGAAGCAAGCAGATGTTATAATATGTTTAGGTTCTAGTCTAAAAGTTCTCAAGAAATATCCGTGGTTATGGCAGATGGATAGACCCGTTCAGAAAAGGGCTTCCTTGTACATTGTCAATTTGCAATGGACTCCAAAAGATGAAAATGCAGTTTTAAAAATAAACGGAAAATGCGACGAAGTGATGAAAAGAATAATGAGTCATCTCGGATTAGAGATACCGCAATATAATCGTACAAAGGATCCAATTTTCTTTCACGCTATAAAGCTTCAGAACAGCGAACAGCTCACTACGACTCAACCGTGTCTCGAAGAGCCGACAATCAAGAAGGAGCCTTTGAGTCAAAGTAGCGATGAAAATGTGAAGTGTACAGTGCAGCAAACTGACGACAAAGAAGATGACTGCATATCGACCGTAACAGTAACTGACACAACGACTGCCTATCCAGCGCCTTTTTTCGCCGCGTTACCGTTCTTATCCATGGGCTTGCCATTTCCTCCTATGTACATGTATCCTCAATTGACGCCGTTATTTTATTATCCTTTCATACAAGTACCGAATGCGCCGATAGAAGCGCCGAAACCCAAGCCAGCTTGTTCGTTTTGTATGGAATATGAAGGCTCCCTTAGCTGTTTGTATTATCAACGTGACGGAGATTGTCCTGCACCGACAAAGACAGAGAACGAGCAGAAGCAGGAAGAAGGTACACTGGTGATTCACGCGGATACTCCAAGCATAGCATCTCCAAAGAATCCAGGCTGGTTTGGTAAAGGATACCGTAAAGGTATGAAAAGGAAGCGGTAGCATCTGCTCTTTATAATACGCGCAACGCTTTTTTGGTCCTCGCTCCTTATCGAGATTACAATATAACCTTGTATTGTACGATATATAGTAACGTACATAAGTATTTAAAGTCGCCATATCGTAATGAAACTGCATATTTTGTAGGTTTAAAGTAATTTGATTCCAGTATTTGAAGCTTTAACAAATAGACTGAAATTTTGAAAATGAATTCTAATAACACACAAAAGCGATCTATTATTTGTATCCATTTCAGAAAGCTTACTTTATTTTCTCAAGATTTATACTTTTTTCATATAATAGCAACATGTGGAAATAGGCTACACATTTGGATAGGAAATAATTTAATTATTTCCTATATAAAGATTTAATTTTGAGAAAATATTTTATTATTAGTTATTAATCAAACACACAAAACATGTTTTATCTTTGTTTTGTTACATGAATGTTTTTATCATCAATTATTCTTTGACTGTATTTTGCATACTAATATTTTCAAAAGTTTCTCTTCCCATATTTACAACAGTATGTCGTAAAATAGGCTGAGATAAATGTAGAAATAGTAAATAAGTTTTATTCATTAGATTTATTTATAACTATAACATAAATTTAATAGTTTCAAATTTCAGGTACTCATTAGAAATCAAATGTCAAGTTACTTTTTCGGTAACTTGTAAAACAATAATTCCGTATCTTTATATTTATTATTCTATCTAAAGCGTCCTTATTTGTATTAATCAAAACTGGATTGATACTTGCCTCTATCGTACACTCAATCTATATATCGAACTCGTATATTGTAACACACGATAATTAAGAGTATGCAAATACTTTAATAGGTCGAGTTCAATATCCTCCGTCATATAAATTCTACTTATTTCTCCCTTTTTATATTTAGCCTCCGAATGTTGTTATCAATCCTGATATCAGATATCGAGAGGGTGACAAGTGCACGATAGCTTACTGCTCTGGTATAACAGCTCGCGAGCGCTCATAAATATCACAATATTATGATTGACATAGGCAGATATGATTCTCCTTTCTAGATATATATAATAAGAACAAATATAGTATATATATTCTCTCTAATATTGCCTGATACCGCCTAAACATTCTTGCTTGAAAAAAATTAAAACGCGGAGATATATATATGTATATATATATATATCTTAGGGTATATTTTATTAGACCACAGGAATATATTGCGAGCATTATCATTGTTCAACATATTTTTATATAAAATAGTTAAAAACAATCATTTCTATCATCACACATTTTAATAACTTTATATAATTTAAATTATTGCTATCGCGCATTACTCTTGTTATTTATCTAATATGTTTTATAGATATGTAGAAAGATAGACTCGACATATCATTATTGACTTTATATATACTTGCCATGACATATTTAAAAAAACACACAGATTCCATTTTCTCATTTCTTTTCCCATTTGCATAAATCAAATATATAATTCAATTATTAGTTTACGTATGCCGAGTCTGTCTTTTTTTGTGTCTATGATTTATTTTTTAATGATTTAGCGTGCTGTATTCGCCACTATATATATTTGAATTGATTCCTTGTTGATACTTAGGACCAACTCGACACACACATACACACACGACGAATGTATGCATGTGTGTGTGTGCGCGTGCGTGGATGTGTATTTCTGCATATTTATATTGATATATCATTTTATCATCTCAATTATTATTTTTGTTTATATGATTAATTTAATTAATCCTATGTATTGCCCAAATTATTAAAAAAAAACGTTCAATATATACAAAAAATAAATTAAGTAAAAAATAAATAATAAATCTATACTTCTCTCTCTAAATACTTCTAAAATACGAAATCTAGAAACACGAATAGATTTTCCATATTGTAACTTCAAAGTTCTAATAGATGACAAACAAAGAGAAATGTAAAAAAATGAACAAAACTGAATGATAAAATTGATGCATTACTTGAAAGCTATATTGGGCAATCGAGGATTGAACGTATCTACGTTTAATATGTCGTGAGAATAACATCGACAGTTCCCAAAGCAATATATTAATTATAAAATATGATGTATATTAAGTGAGACTTAGTGCAATACAACAGTTATAATCCTTCCAGGTTACTGTATGTATGCTGGTATTGTATACTTGGAAAAAAATGAATGCTTTTGCTAGAAATTATAACACGATTAATGTATATGTGCGATGTTTGTGATATGTTTTTCTACAAGAATTTAAATTTTTATTCGAAATTTTTCATGCTTACGCAATACTGGTAAGATAAGATAAGACTCACACGGCTAATTTATAATAAATTTCAGAATTTAGTGTGCTTTTTAATGTGTCAAAAAAAAAAAAAAAATTAATGATAAATTTATTAATTTATTAATTTATTTTTGATAATACAAAATGGTTTGTTTTATGAAAGAGATTCGCGTTTTATATGTAACTATCGTCTTTCGTTTTGTTTTTTCCTGTGTTTTTTTTTCTTCCTTTTTTCCTTGCGTGCGAGGAAATGCGTCTCTTGATATTATTAGTTTTTATGATGAATAAAGTATCATTCGTATAATCGTATACATTTTTTGTTAGAATTATTCTAAAATAAATATTATTGTAGTGTGAAAAAAAATATTGATTATTCAGCATTTAAGACACCACTCATGTTTAATCCGTTACTGTCAAAATTATTTTCATTCTTTTAATTTAATTAATTTTAATCAAATGCGAAATATACGAGATGTTGAAAGCGCGCGATTCTGAAAAAAAAAATATATATATATATTTAAAATAAAATTAATAACTAATTTAGTAAAAAAGAAAAAAAAAACGCAAAATCTCGCGTGAGCTCAGTTAACGAAGGGGTCGCGAGAGACATGTGCCGGTACTGTGAGCACGCACACAAAGGAGTAAGAGAGGGAGCCGCTCTTGCGTTTACGAGGCGCGGGCGTGGGCGCCTCGCCTCCTTTCGTATACCCCTCTCTGTCGCTCCCGCTGTCAGCTGTCAGCCCGGCTGGGAGTAATTTTCGTCGTTCGAATCGTCATCAAGTGGGTTTTCTCCGGTATGTATGAGCCAAAATAGCCCCGCCGTCTCTCTCGGTGAGGATCTCCGCGTGTCACGTATCGACGCTCTCGTCGAGGCGATTAGTGCGAGGTTGTCTTTGAATGGACGAGCGGTAGTGAACGTACACGACTTGTCGGCAACAAGAGGGAAGACTACAATCACGACGACGACGAGGACAACGGCGACGGGAAGCGGAAGACGAAAAAACGGCACGACGAGAATCGCTCGGGGCTACCATCAGGAGTATGGATCCCTCACCCCCGTGAACTGCGTTGTCAATCGAGCCCATCATTCGGCGGGAGATCGTGATACTTGGGCAGCGAGAACCTGCAAACACCGGTGAGTCGAAAGATCTAGTCGGGAAAGAACTGCACGCGGGGGCGGCGCAGGGTTGATAGAGGTAGAGGGTAGAGGTGCACGTAGGCAGGAGGGCAAATGAACGTACTAGAGGAGGGTTAAGATCGCTAGAGAGGGAGAGATCGAAAGGCCTATGGTCTGTCGTCATGGTGATTCCGCACAGCATCGCCCTATCGCGTGGACCACTTATCCCTCGACCCTCGTTCTTTTGTCCCTTCGTCTCTTCGTCGAAGCATTAGGAGAGCTGGGTTGCTCGGTGGATAGAGCAGTCACCTGGCGATCGGTAGAAATCGGTAGAAGAAGAGGGTGGTTTAGATTTTCTTTTTTTTTTTTTTTTAATTTAAATTGGATTTATAATATATATAAATCCCGTTATACGATAAGAAAATTCTTGAAAACGTCATCCATCACCGATAAATGTTCTATAAAGATTCAAAGAGAGCAAACAATTTTTTAAATACTCTGAATTTTATAAAATGTAAGATATGTCTAGATTGAATTATTGATAAAGTAATGTACTATCGCTTATATTGATTATGCGATTAATTTTTTTTTTTTTTCTTACTACCATGGACCAAATTATATTGTAAAATGCTATCTCTATAGAAATAGGATTAAATGTTTCTCAAGTAGATTCGAGCAATCTAACTGTTTAATTTTCGACTAATAACAATTCTTTCGATTTTCTATTTTTTTAGCATTATAATGAAATTTTTCTATCTCTCAGAAACTTTATTCACAATACATTCCTTTCTTTCTAATATCAAAGCGCTTGTATGTGTGTGTGTGTGAGCATATTCGATACTGTTACTATTCGTTCCATGGATTAGGTACTCGTTGGAAACACCTTATTTAGAGATTCGATATGAATATTTGCGAAGATATTAGACAATGGAGTGCCGAGTGAAATAACAGTCCTCGTGAATAATACTCAATTTTTGTAAAAGCAAAGCAATTTTTCAAAAAATTCCCAGAGTCTCAATAAAATTCCATGAAAATTCCCGGATTTTCAAGGTAAAAAAAAAAAAAATTCCCTGAGGATTACCGGTTTTTCCAGAGAGAAAACACCCGATTGACATAAAACGAAGTTTCCTATCAAGAAATTTTATTCTGCATTTTTTACTGATTGTTCCATATATCATTTATTTCATGTACAATCATCTCTTGTTTTGCCATTAATAACAGATCACGCAATTGGTAACACTATTGAAACTTGCAGTTTTACATAAGATGATAAAGAAATACACAAATTTGACATATATATACATTCTCTTTTTAATTTAAAATGTTCCAATCAAAAGATCTTTGGGTGTTTCTTTAGTCCCAATAATCCCAATTCTTAAGCTCGTCTAAAAGTTTTATCAAAAGCGGGTTGCCTCCTAAACGTTCAATCTCAGCTCTCGCTTTCATGTCCAAGTCTTCAAGTACACTTTTCGTGTACTTGAAAGAGCCAAATTTCTCTAACAATTTAACGCAATGTTGTTTCACTTCGATATCTTTGGTTCGTTGTCTCAGAATATCTGTATCAGGCATTATTAAAGAAATCTATATATAATAAAGTTCATAAATTATAAAGTTTTTGAAAATGTCTTTTGTATGTGTATGATGTGTGAGGCCGTTTACATTTCTTTAGTAAATAAAGTGTATTAATTAACAAAAATATTTTTGTTGTAAATGAAAAAAAGTATTATATAAAAGTATTGTATAAAGGATACGTATTATTTGCTTATCATCAGGATTACTTGTAAGCGCATGAATAATGGGAAAGCTGAATTTTCCTTCACTCAGGTCCTCGCAATAACTCTTACTTTTGTTATACTATAACAAAAAATTACTTTAATTCTTTTTAGTTTATTTATATATTATGTATAACGTCGCAGATATATTATTACTCACCTTATCGCTGCCCAAATTCCCATAATCATCGCGTATTTGAAAGTGCAAACTCAAAATGGCTACTAGCGATGATAAGTCCTCTTCGTGGGTTGAGAACAGTCTCATCAATCTTACTACTAAATTAAAAAAACTACCCATCTCTGCAAAATTAGTTGATATTTCAATTTTTTTCATATGTAATTTTTTAAATTTCATAAAGAAATATATATATAAGTATTAATATTGACTTTTTATTGCCATAATTTTGTAATCTGCCTCGCTTGGACAGATAAGATTGTCCCGCCAAAAAATGTCCATTCCTTGACCTCTATGACCTTCCAACATTTGCTCCATATACACTTTTGTTGCCTGAAAAAAAACGCAGAGTTAGTGCAATAATACAACACAAGTTACATTTACCCCCATTAAGTTAGCCCCCCACCAGCGCTAAATAAGTTTTAACTTACATTAAAATTAGGTGCTAAGCCGTGGGCGCGACCGACGTTTAAGTTTGAAATCCTGCCAAACAGATCGAGCACTTAATTCGGCGTTTAAATATCTCGACATATAATTAATTAACGAGTATTTTGATACCAGTAACTGAACACGTCCGTTCCCGTCCGCGGGCGGCAACAAACTGCGTACAAATATAAAATAGCATTATAAAATTAGATGCTCAAAAGTTATTAGTATAGAAATACTTTTTTAAATATATTATACCAAGGTATATAAACGCCGAATTAGGCCCGTACGGTAGGATATCGAACCACCTAATTTTAATGTAAGTTAAAACTTATTTAGCGCTGGTGGGGGGGCTAACTTAATGGGGGTGTTACATTTTATCTAACAAGCAAATATGAAGTTAATCTTTTACAATTTTAATGACTTTTAATGAGCTTTATGTTGTATATATGTATATATTAAAAGATCATAAAACATGTATTTTTAAGGACATATAAAATATGTATTCTTTTAAATGTTTTTTCCTTTAGTCAAATCTTAGCAGTAACTCTTATTTTTCCTATACTATAACAAAAAATTAATTAAATTCTGTTCAGTTTATTTAAGTATGTATAATGTCATGGACATAATTCAAGAAGTTCATTTGAATTTTGTATCTTTTAAAAACGTTATTTTAGCATTTAGAAAAGAGAATAAGAGATCTCTTATTTTAATTTTTTTTTATAAGTATAATGTGATTACTTACTGCAGGATGCAAATTAACAACTCTTTCCAAAGCGATAAATAATATATAAGTTGCAGCGCTTAGTGAGTTAGCAATTCCATAAACAGAATGAGCGACAGGAATACCTCTTCGCATAATGGAATTATCTTGAATATCATCAATCCTGTTAAAAAAAATAAATTATGATCTTATAAAAATATATGTACAGAATTGCTTTTTTAATATAAATTCAATTTTATACATCTAATATAAAAATAATAACATGGAAATAAATGTAATGCGAAAACATAAGGATTACATACCGAAATAAGACAAATTAGTTATGGCACATCAATGTTTTGTTTCAATTTTGATAATAACAGCAATAGACTCAGAGTAAGAACAATTAAGTAATAAAACTGACAGATAAAAGCCAAGGCGCAGGTAACTTATTATTGTTAAATTTTATTAAATAATGTGCATTAAAAATGTACGTTTTGAACCGTCTTTTGGTCCATCTTTGGCATGAATGTAAATATATAAAGATTAAAATGGAATTTTAAAATTTGACATACACAACATTTGCAGTTGCAATCAAATATCAAATTGCTCTTATCTGCCAGTTTTCCCATTTAAATGTTATTTTAGCTTTACGCGAAACTTAAAACTTTTTGGCTTTTGACAATAACCAATGCTTATTTGGTTTCCGGGTTTAGGCTATAAATTAATCACATTAAATTATAATCTAAAGTCTAAAGCCACAATATATTTGAAAAACAACGATTTATATATATATATAATATTTGAAATCAACAATTAATATACAAGATAATTACTTTCTCATTAATTTGGACAAAATCTGATAGTGTTATATAGTTTGATAAGTAAAACACAAAATAATAAAAATTGTCGCTCAATACGTTGTAAAAAGAATAAAGTCACATCACAAAAGTAATACTTCTTAATGCTAAAAAATTATACTGAAAAATATAACAAAATATAACAATAAACCTCTAAATAATAAACATCTAAACATATATATATATATATATATATATATATATATATATATATATATATATATTATGAGAGT